CCACCGGTATTGTCTGTAGAATGTTAAAGCAAACTTGGTTGGGCATTTTCGAAAGGAGAAACTAGGAGGCAACTGTCAAATGATTGGTTCAGCGATGCAAAAGACAAGGTATTTGGCAGAGTGGAAAAAATTAGAAGAAAAAATGACAAGACGGCTCGTTGGCTTCAGAAGCTAGGTGTTGAGAAATGGACCTGTTTACAGATGGAGGTATCATTGGGGAGAAATGACCACTAACATTTTAGAGAGTTTCAATAATGTTCTGAAAGGTGCTAGATTCTTCCCGATCACAACTTTGATCCTAGCATCCTTTCAGAAAAGCAACAATCTGTTTCAGACAAACATTGATATGATCTAGAAATGTTAGAATGTTCTACCTCCTAAGCCCATGAAACTGTATGAAGAGGCCCGGAAGAAATCAATTAGGCAACAGGTAAACCGGTTTAGCAAGAGAAATCAGAAGTACGAAGTGATTACAATAGCACCTGACAATCAACCGTGGAAGGCTGAGGAGAAGCAAGTTGTGCTCTATGGAGATCGAGAGTGCACTTGTGGAAGGTGGCAGACTACTAGATTTCCTTGTTCCCATGCACTTCGTGTTGCCCGTGAGCTAGGTGACGACTCCTTCCCACTTTTTGATCCACGTTACACTACGCAGCAATGGTACCAGCAGTTTTCTGGAGAATTCAACCCAATCATGGAACCATGGCCAAAGGCAACGTGGCAGATCAGGCCAGATGACACTAAACTTGTCCACCATGCTGGCCTGGGTCGGAAGCGTGTGAATCAGAAAAAAGGTGTGATGGATTATACAAGCAAATCTAGCCAGCGAAGACTCCAAACTTGCAGTTTATGTAAACTGCAGGGCCATAATACCAGGGCTTGCCCATATGCGACAGTTTGCGCATGATGTGGAAGTTTAGATCATGATGCTGAGGAATGCCCATTTTCTCATCCACCTGCTGACAGGACCGCTATTGATAAACTTTACGATCCATATGGAATTTGTGGTGTGCCTAAGATCAATTCTGATGATTTTGATGATTCGTAGTGATGATTCTGATGATGCATAGTGATGATTCTGTTAGTGTTTGTATTTGTGTGTTGTTTAGACCATTCATGTAATAAATCTCAGAGGATGATTCTGTTTGCGTTTGTATTTGTGTTAGTGTGTTGGTTTGGATGTTTGTGTGATAAACTCTAATTTTGCGTTTATCAATAGAATGCTAAAACAGCGGAAAATGGAAATTTTGCATTTTAGAATTCGCGTATATTGTATATGACTCACGAGATTCAGCCACGTGTCCAAATTCTGGTGAGTCACACTATTCGCGTTTCAAAAACGCGAAATTTTGGCCGGTTTAAATATATTTCGCGTTTCTAAAACGCGAAATGTTTCTGCCTTAGAATTTGCGTTTCTGAAACGCGAATTTGTGTTTATGCAAGAGTCCAAGACTTGGACTCCAGTATAATTAACTTTAAACACCAACCATTTTCAATTTATATTAGTAATATTTTTTAAAAAAAATTTGTCGGTCTTCGTCATTATGTATTAAAAATGTAGTACTAATTATTACTATATACATGTCATATAAAGTACTAATTATCTTGGGACGGAGTGAGCACTAATTATCTTAGGACTTTACGATCCATATGGAATTCATAGTGATGATTCTGTTAGTGTTTGTATTTGGGTGTTGTTTTGAACATTCATGTAATAAATCAATGAGGATGATTTTGTTTGCGTTTGTATTTGTGTTAGTGTGTTGGTTTAGATGTTTGTGTGATAAACGCTAAAGGATCATTCACTTTGTGTGAGTTGTTAGGGTTTAGGGTTTAGGGTTTGTCTTTATGTAACAAAACTAGTTATTAGTTTATTCATTTTATGATAAACAAAGTTGGCTTAGTTCTCATAAACGCTAAATTAGTTGTCTAAATAAAATTAGTTGTCAAAATTACCAAATTACCCCTAATAGGTAAGAATCTAGGACTTGGACTCCAGTATAATGGACTGGATATTTATGTCTTTTCGGTCGTTCGACCAATTTTTGTGAAGATATTTAACCCACAAACTATACGCGTTTCAGAAACGCGAATTAAATCACGCGTAAATACATTTCGCATTTCTGAAACGCAAAATATTTGTGGGTTAAGGAAAATTTGCATTTCAGAAACGCGAATTTGTGGTACTTAAAACGTTTTCGCATTTCTGAAACGTGAATTCTTGTGGGTTAAATCACAGTTTTCGCTTTTCACTTATTTGGTTTCTTTCTTTCCCGGTGGCCGGCGGACTCCATACAAACCGGCGAATTATTCGGAATCGTTGCCGGAAGCGAGTTTCGGCGTCAATTTTTTGAATTTTGTGGGCTATATATCGAGGTAAGTTGTTATTTTGCTCTCATTTAATCGTTTTTTTTTAAATTCATGCTTTTATTTCCGAATCCTAAAAATTTTGTGTTGGTTTATTTTTTTTAATTTTAATTCACGATTTAATACTCCGTTAATAGATCTAGTATTATAGGTGGTGTAGTTGTGGATTTTTTTTTAAAATTCAGGATTGTGGGTTATGACGGGGATTGCCGGCGGGGGAGTTGGGGTTGTGGGTTTAGAGGGGGGTTGCCGGCGGGGGGAGTCGGGGGACTTGCAGGGGGTTAGAGGGGGGTAGGCGGCGGGGTGGGCTTAGGGTTGTGGGGTTTTGGGTTTGTGGGGTTGGGTTGGGTTTGGGGGGTTGGGTTGGGTTTAGAAGTGGGTTTGGGTGTAGAGGGGTGGGTATTGGGTTGGGTATAGGCGGTTGGTTATTGGGTTGGGTTTAGGGGGTTGGTTATTGGGTTGAGTTTAGAGGGTTGGGTATTGGGTATAGAGGGGTGGGTTTATGGGGTTGGGTATATAGGTTGGGTATTGGGTTGGGTTTAGAGGGGTGGGTTTAGAGGGTTGGGTTTATAAGGTTAGGTATTGGGTTAGATTTTTAAATATATATAGATAATTATATTAAGAAATAGGATAATAAATATTGATAAATATTAATCCGTACTTACTAAAATTTAGGGTCGGATTTTTTAATATATAGGATAATAAATATTGATAAATATTAATCCGTACTTACTAAAATTTAGGGTCGGACTTTTTAATATATAAGATAATAAATATTGATAAATATTAATCCGTACTTACTAAAATTGTTTGTAAATTGTTATAGCCATGGACATTGGATCATCTTCTTCCTCCCAATCTACCTCAAAGAAGCTACGGCAGGGACTTAGAGACAATAGTTTGTTGTTCCTCCAAAACGCCCACAGGTCACATAATATATTCCATAGTACACAGTATGATATAGGAATTTCGGAGCCCAGGCGCGTAGATAGCGTAGCGTGGAAATATATAAAAGATGCACTGACGATGACAAAGGAATACATTGAGAAATTTGGTTTTGGACCGTTTTCTAGAGTTGGGTCCATAAGATGTGACCATGCCCTGCTTACAGCTCTTGTGGAGCGATGGCGCCCAGAGACCCATACTTTTCATTTACCTTTTGGGGAGGCTACTATCACACTGCAGGACGTTGACGTTCTTTTGGGGCTTCGGGTTGATGGACGTCCGGTTACAGGACATCACACAACGTCTGAAGGTGGTTGGGATGCCTATTTGGAGAGGATGTTTGGATTTAGGTTCCAGACAGAGGAGTCCAGATTGACGAGCGTTTCCATCACTGAAATAAAGATTCACATAGAGAACAATCCTTTGACGGACCAGTCCCCCGATGAGGCACACCTACAGCGAGCCAGTTATTTTGTTGGATGGCTAGTTGGCGGATTACTGTTCTCTAACACTACGAGAAACAGTTTTTCACTCGATCTTGTGCATTTTCTGCATACTCCCGAGATTTGCTCGGAGTACAGTTGGGGTAGTGTGGCACTGTGTTACTTGTACCGCAGAATGTCCAAGTCATCTCTGGCCACTTCCGCAAAAGGCTATTACCGGCTGTGTGATTCTTCTTCAGGAATTTTATCTTTTCATTTCTCTCTCTTTTCATTTTATATTCTCCCATAATTATTTGTGATATTAGCTAATGATCCCTAAATTCTGAATTAGCTCTGGGCTTGGGAGCGGATTTTGACGGTTCAGCCAAAGATACTGGGTAGGAAGCTCGATCTTTCTCATTGTCCATTGGGCACGAGGTAATCTTATACATCAAACCTCCGGACATTTTGACATTGTGATTTGTACTGTCATGTCTCAATTTAATGTTAGTCTTTCCGTGCAGGCGGTCCCGTGAGAAAAAAGTTCAAGGTATCACGCGGTTCAATTTGGCCGCCTACCGGGATCAGCTTGCAGTTCTCGCAGAGTCAGATGTTAGTATTCATTTCAATTACTGTAGCATATTCTTTATTGGATTTTTTTAATGGTGCCGGACTTTTAATTACGCGTCTCTTACAATATTACCACTGCAGTTTGTATGGATGCCGTATACGACTCTTCTGGGTCGTATTGCCAGGGTTTGTCTTGTGGGACAGGGCATCTGGCGATCTCAGACATGGCTCATCTGCGGTGATGTCGTTGCGCCACACAACCCCAGTAGGGTATTTCGCCAATTTGGTTATTACCAGTGGATACCCGGCGACGCATTGCTTCTGACTACAGGGGAAATTACTAGCCTGCTCAAGAGGAAGCCGTTTGGAGGATTCGATAGGAGATGGATACAACAACTAGGGATATATCTCCAGGTTTGGAATGATCGCTATGGAAAACTTGTCGGGACTGATGATGATTATGTTGGCGAGCCTACAACAGATCCGGAGTATCTCTTGTGGTGCCATCAGGTTACTGTAAAGTATGTTACGGATCCGAGGGACTCTGAAAATGCGAGGGGTTTTCATGGCTCTGCAGAGACCTTGCGCCTCATGGTGAGTCTTTTGTACAATTTCTTTCGCCTACAGTCCATTATGTAATTTATTTTCATTGTTATCGATTTACGACTCTTTCTAACAAAAATTCAGGCCACTTTGATGAAGGACGTTCATAGTCTGAGTATTATAGGCCAACGTACTTTCGACAAGGACTCCTTTGGTTATGATCGCTTAGGCGAGATTGCCCAGGTTGCTGAGCAGGCGTTATCCGTCAATGCAACAAATTTTGTACGTCACGATCTCGAGAGGCAGGTTGAGGTTAATGACATTTTGAGTCAAGAACTTGCACCTGTAGACCCGACCCAGCAATATCCACCTCCAAGACCTCCGAGGCGTTCGCGCAGGTCTCAGCGTGGGCATGGGAGGCAAGAGACAATCACGCCCACACAGCCACATCAGTCCTCCCAGCATCAGCAGTCTCATACCCCCTTCACTGACGGTTCATCCCATCAGTCTCCACTTATGTTTCCACACCATTCTTCTCAACATTCATCCCATCAGTCTCCACATTCTCCACATTCTCCACATCATTCATCCCATCAGTCTCCACATCATTCTTCGCTGACCCAACCGGCGTTTTACCATCCCATTATGTCTCCCCAGCACCAGCAGTCTCATTTTGCCTTCACTCAGTTTTCCTCCCCTCAGACTTCTCAGCCTCAGTTTGGAGATTCTTTTATTGACTTTTCTGGGTTCCAGCAAAGTTCTCTAGATGTTCAGTCGATACATTACACGAGTAACTTTCTTTCGAGTATATTCGAGGGTATTGCAGGTCAGAATGAGGCTGATGACCCAGCTGGAGGTGAGCGTGAGAGTCAGGGTGAAGATGAGGATGAGGATGAGGCTGAGGATGCACACCAGCAGGATTAGGTTGAGGGTCAGGGTTATCAGCGCCATGAGAATCAGGGATCGAGTCAGACTCTAGGGACTCCACCGTTGGCTGTGAGTAAAGGCCAGAGAGTGACAAAGGAGCTCGATAGATTGACTTATAGCCATTTTTTGGCTAGACTTTTTTATGTAGTATTATTAGACTTGTATTTTTTTTTTCCTTTTGTTATGACTTGTTTTTTTTTTTCTTTTGTTATGACTTGTAATATTTTGTTATAACTTGTATTAATATTCTTAAACAATGATTTCACCTGCATCGTTGCTACTTTATTAATATTTATCAAACACATCTTCGCCGATCAAATCTAAAAACAATAATTTTATTTTATTTCAAACTATATTTTATTTTTTTAATAATTAATAGTTGCTTCATCTTTTTTTTTTTAAACAAACAGCAAAGTATTTTGTTTATCCAAACAAAAGATGTAATTCTTAGCTCTTACATACCAACCGTCTATTAAAATTACCACATCCACAAAAGGATAGTACCAGATACCTAAAACAAACATTCAGTAAACTATAGTTCTCTTCAAAATTAAGATGCGGTGCATTAAACAATCGCATTGGCAACACTCGCAATCCTAGGCCAAAGATCATCACACTCCTTTCCAATGGGACCACTGATTGCAGAACCTTTCATTTTTCCCTTGGGATTAACAATCACTCCAGCATTATCTTCAAAGTACATGTAGACACCGTCCTTTTGGCGCCATGGCTTGCGCTGGCGGACAATGACTGCGGGCATGACTTTCTTCCTGAGATCGAGCTTACCCTTCTTGACGGTGGCCATAACCATGTCACCGACAGAAGCAGAAGGGAGACGGTTGAGCCTACCCTTCATTCCCTTCACTGAAATGATGTAGAGGTTCTTTACCCCGGTGTTGTCGGCGCAATTCACCGTCGCAGGCACTGGAAGACCCAGAGACATCCTGAACTTGTTACCCGCTGATCCTCCGCGTCCTCGCTTCGACATTTTTACTGTCTCCCCTGTAAGGTTTCCGAAGAAGAGAAAATACTTGCTTCATCTTAAGCGCTGGTAAATTAGAATAAATATTTCTTAAAATTTATTCATATTTTAAGCTTTTTTCTTATATTGAAACCGTCATAATTAATATAAACAATTAGTAAATTAAATTACATCTAATTAATATAAGTCCATAAAATTACGTCATTTATCATTATTGAACATTTTTCATATCAAATTATTTTATAAAATAATGATTAAATTTTTAATATAATGTTTTAATAATTTTATAAATTATAATAATTAGTTCATAATTTTAATAATTTATATTTAGTATAGCTCTATTTAATTTAATGAGTATCAATTATAATATTATATTCATATTCAAAATTTAATTTTCCTATTATTAAAATTATCAATATAATTTTCCTAGTAATAATTTTCTTCTTTATAGATCTATTCAAAATTTAATGATCATCAATTATAATTTTAAAATTTTTCTTTAATTTCATTATTAAAATTTAATAATTTTTCGAAGTAAATTTGCCTACAATTTTTTAAACTATGCAAATTAATTGAATTTTTATGACTATTTCCTTTTTTATTTAAATAAAATATTCTTTTTTATTGTTTTGGCGCTTTGAAAACGCGAAAAATAATTTTTTTTTATTTTTTTCGCGCTTTAAAAACATGAAATTTTATTTAATCAATTTTTTTACCATTAATTAATCATGATTAAGTTAAATTAATTAATAACACCTATTTTTAGCGTTTCTGAAACACGAAAATCTTCTTTTAGCGTTTGTAAAACGCGATTTTGCCAATTTTCGCGTTTTTGAAACGCAAAAGAATTAGTTTCGGGGACAATTGAAACCCTAAAACTATTTTGTTCTGCAGTAAATTTTTCAGATACATATAAGTAATTTTTCCCTAGACTTTGCCTATTTTATTCTCCTGTCCCAAAACCAATACATCTTAATTAAGTTTCACGATACCACATGACCAACTGCGATGCTTGATCTTATTTATTAAAAAGCAACCCATGGATGGATCATGGATGCATGGAAAATCCCTAGCTAACCGCCGGGGTTTTAGGCACGTTATGATCACTTGAATCTCAGAGTTGCACGATTCCATGCCAAGATTGAAAGTTAAAGGTTTTCTGTAACCAAAAAAAAAAAGAAAAAAGAAAAAAAGATATTTGTAAGACAGGTTTTTATTTTTAATTTTTGGCTAGTTCTTATGGCTATATATGTCGCTGGATCCAGATTAACAAAGACCGGAAGGAGGAGGATGATTGGTAGCACTTGAGATCGTGATGGATTTTATTTTTTCCAAAAAAAAAAAGAACCAAATTAAGAAAGCTACCTTCCACCTTCATATGCTTGGCCCTCAATAAACTTTTGCATCACAACTACAACTGTTTCATCAAGAAAATAATTGTCCGGTTTGAAATAATACCAGCTAGACTAGCATCATTTTGGGAGAGAGAGTAGTAGGAAGACTACCATCATTTAATTGCTGATTGGCACCAAGAAGAAGGCAACAAGAGTTAGAAGATGAGAAGTTAGAGTTAGCTTAGTTCAGTAGGTTAGAAATAGCATAAGTCTGCAAAGCAGATTCAGGGGTGTCCCTTGGGGAAGTGAAAATCTGACTCTGCGAAGTCAGCTGCACTTTACCACACTCCCTGACTTTGTTCTTCCCCTGTTCTCTACCTTTTCTGTTGTAACCATGGGTAAGTCTCTCCACCTTGATTCTATAATGTTTGAGCTTCTTACAATGTGTAGCTAAACTCATTTCTAGGGTCTAATCCCTCTACTCTATATAAGTATGTTTTGATTCGAGCTCTTGGATGATATTTGTGTGCTTAGCCTTAGAATTTTCATTATCCTTTTAGTTGAATTGGCCACTTAACTAATTCATCTTGCATGTTAAGGGAAACTTGTGAGGGTAAACTTAACTTAGAACGTCTAAGATTAACTAGTGACAAGGGGGTAACAGCCCAAGGTTTCAAACAATAACGTGAGTTAGTTGTTTGGTACGAGGCAATCATAAGGGCTTAGGAACTTAATGACTTAGTAGTAAACCAGAATCAACAACGAGAGTTAGTGGACTTGTTGCTACTAGGACTACTGTTTGGAATATCGTGAGAGACCTTATAGTGTTATTGAACACAGTTTCACACCACGTATGGAGCAATTGAATCATCACATATGCATATAGAGTAGAGAAGAGGACGGCCCTAGGCTTCTATCACTTTGTCAAGTCATAAACTCGCTTGCCCAAGTCTAATTCTGTTCATACATTGCATAACTTGTATTGGATCCCAATTTTCATATATTATTTCCCGTCTCTGTGGGATCGACCCTTCTTATCACTTACTACAAGTTTTAAGCATGTTTTTTTGGTGGTCTCGACACCCATCAAAAGTGGCTCCGCTGCTGGGGATGACGTAAAACATCTTTTAAAAATTGGTTACTGTTTGTCATTTTTATACTCTATTTTTCTGTCTGATAACTTTAAAATCAAAATGCCTTCGTATTTGTTACTTTTTACTTGTTGGTACTCAATTTTTGGTGTATGACAAGAAGTAATCCCCATGAGGAATTCTTCTTTGACCCTGAAATTGAAGCCACTTCCAGGAGAATCAGACACCTCAGATGTCAGTACTCAGCTGCTGAAGCTCAAGAGGAGTTTGCTAAAACCTTAGAAGCCTTATCTGAAGAGGAAGTCAGAAATAATGGTAGAGCTGAGATTCAGCCAGCTCAACCCCGATTGTTAAGAGACTATTTTCTCCCTCAATAAGAGGAGGTTCACCATTGGTTTTCCCAGATGTGGAGGCTGAAAATTTTGAGCTCAAATCAAACATGATTCAATTGGTTCAAGCAGCCTGTCCATTTCATGGATAACCCTCCGAAGACGCCAATGATCAATGAACCTTCTTAAGGATCTGTGGTACATTTAACATCCAAGGATTATCTCAGGATGATATCAAAGTGAGATTGTTCCCATTCACCCTTCAAGATCAAGCTCAGATGTGGTTGAATTCTCTGCCCAACAACTCCATTACAAGCTGGCAGGAACTAAGGTAAGCATTCTTAACTAAGTTTTTCCCACCGTCTAAAGCAAGCCATTTTATAACTGCAATCATGACGTTCCAACAACGTCGTGATGAATATAGAAAATATCTACAGCATGGGATTGAGGATCATATGAGGTTAGGTATTTTCTATAATAGCCTAACTTAGTTCTCCAGAGATTCCCTCAATTCCTCTGCTGGTGGGGCATTCATGATTAAGAATATGGGCGAAGTAACCTAGCTGCTGGAGAACATGTCTACCAACCACTATAGATGGCAATTAGATCCCAGAGCTTTGCCCAAAAAGACTGGCGTACTTGAAGCAGACACAACAACTCTCCCAACTCTTGAACCAGATAGTCAAAGTAGAAGATCCTATCGCCAAGTCACAAAATGACTTATGCGAGTCATGCTCTAGTCCACATAAGATGGACAACTGCCTTGAATTAATAGAGTCAGGTGAATTTGTTCGTCAAAACAATGCTAGTGGTTTCAATTCTTACAACAACTGGAGAGGGCAACAGAGCAACTGGAACAGCAATCAGCAACAACACAGCTTTCAAAGGCCATACCAACCCCCTGGTTTCCAAAAATTAGATTGGAGCTCAAAAGGAACATGACGTGGTTGAGTTAAAGACATTGTTAAAGTCTTTAGAAGCCAACCAACATCAATTTGAGGCAAGGTTGAGTCAGAACGGGAAGCTATGCTCAGAAAGGATAGGATGGAGTTTGCCAAGTGATACGATAGAAAACGCTTGTCAAGGTTCAAAGGAGCAAGCCAAGGTAGTATCACTTCGCAGCGGAAAGAAACTCACTTCTAGAAGTGAGGTTCCAAGTCAAACACCTGCAGAAGAACCTGAGGAAGCTGAAGACATCATCATCCTTACTAAAGGAAAAGAAGATGCAGTGGATCCAAAGGGACATTCCAAAATAGAATCAGGCTTGTCAGGGGAGGCCCAATATCCATCTCTTCAACAACAACCTGATGTTCCAACACCCCCTTATTCACCCAGGCAAGCTAGGAAGAAGACTTAAGATGCAACCATCAACAGGTTCATGAATAATCTGGAAAGCTTACACATCAATATTCCACTGATTGATGCTCTGAAGCAGATGCCAAAGTATTTCAAGCAGCTGAAGGAGTTAGTCTCAAGCAAGCCAAGGATTCATGATTCATCATTCATAACTTTGAACGAGAAGTGCCGTGCAACCATTCTGAAGAAGCTGCCAGCATGGCTCAGGGATCCAGGGAGTTTCACTATTTTTTTTTCTTCAAAAGTAAATGTATTTTATTTCCCGTTAACACCTTCTCCATTTTGTACATCGTTTCTGTTTCCCTATTCTATTACAAATAGTCCCCCTTTATCTCTTACATTCTATGTCCAATTCACTGTCCTATAATCCCCTTTTCTGCTACACTTACTTTTTGACTAAAACACTACACAATTCTGATACTAAATTCCATTCCAATCTGCTGCACTAGCTGGTCCTCTGTCATGCATTTCCCTGAAATGTCCTCCAGTTTCTTTCTTCCCACAGATGGTACATGCATGCCCTTAACAGAGCTATGAGGATCTGCGTCTTCAGCTTAGCTCTTCTCCAAATACTCTTCAAATCTATCCTCCACTGCTCATTTTGCCTTGATAGTAATCTGATACCAAGCCAATCCTTAATCATGTTCCACAAAGTCTCAGAAAAACTCCATTCAAAAAACAAATGCCTCAGTGTTTCCTCCTGGCTTTCGCACCTGAATATGATAGTTTCTCAATCTATCTTTTGTCCACAAACGTCCCTTCCACATCAACCAAGTGAAAAAAGAGTGTTTTGGCAAATTCAATCTAGACCATATCCATTTATACTCTTCTCTGTCCCCTACACTGTCGGTAACACTAATTTTAAGAAAGGTTTGCTAGATTTAGGAGCAAGTATT